TCTCTCTCTCTCTCTCTCTCTCTCTCTCTCTCTCTCTCTCTCTCTCTCTCTCTCTCGGGTCCTCCCTGAAAAATGCTGTCCCTTGGTGCCCCAGTCTGTTCTGCCCAGTGCTGGTCCCTCCTTTCCCCATAGGAGAAGTTTCTGGAGAACTGTTGCACCCTGGTCTGATATACTGTGCTGCCTCCTCCTGTTCTTTGGCCTATTCATTTATCTGATCTTTTCAAGCAGCCCTAGAAGCCACCCCTGGCAAGGTCACCAGCAATCTTCCATGGCTCCATGGTTGGGCACATCTCATCTGGGTGCCAGGATAACATTGGGCATGGCTGAAATTGCCTTTCCTCTGGGCTCCCTGCAGTGTCCATGAGGCGTCTCAGCTGCTTGTTCCTCTGGCTGGCACCTTCCCTGGCTCCTTCCCTCACTTGCCTCACTGGGCTGCTCCAGAGCTGTGCCCGGGCTCCCGCTGCACTCTGCTTAAAGCATCACCGGATGATGCGATTCCTGCCCAAGGCTTGAGAGCCCGTCTGTGTGCCTACAGTCTCGAATCTCGAGCACCAGCCCAGTGTGGCCTCCTGAGTGAGGGACCTGACTATCTACCGCTGCTGCATCTTCATGGTGATCTCAAGCCCAGTATGGCCCGTACCCAGCCTGCCCTCCCGGGTACCCCATACTGACTCTCCTCTTGGACACCCCCATTTAATGACTGGATTTGCATCTCCCAGTTTCCCAAGCTAGAAGCTCAGGAGGCAAAACCAGAGCTCTTCTGCTATCTCCTCCATGAAAGGATACAGAGATGCTGAGCTCACCAGTCTGCTTCTGAATGTCTCTCTGCCTCTGTCTCTATCTCTGTCTCTTTCTGTCTCTCTGTCTCTCTGTTTGTCTCTGTCTCTCTGCCTCTCTGTCTCTCTCTGTCTCTCTGTCTCTGTCTGTCTGTCTGTCTGTCTGTCTGTCTGTCTGTCTCTCGCTCTCTCCCCGCCTCAAAGCTGTGAAAGTCCCTGCTCACCTTCTCACCTTCTCCATCTTTCTGAACAGACCTGCGTGCATGCCAGGGCGCTGCCACTATGCCTGGTGGTTTCTCATGCTGTCCATCTTCAGAGTTTCAAACAGTGCCCTTTGTTCCCACATGGAATGCTTTCCTTCCTCTTTCCCTGCCCAGTCCATTTTGCCCACTCCTTCAAAGCCAAGCCCCAGCCTTCCTCCACAATCTCCCCTTCCCTGCCCCAAACAGTAGAATTTCTCTCCCCCAGGCTTTTGGTGCCTTCTTAACTGGTCCCTGCTGGGCAGTCAACAGTGTTGCCTCCATCTTCCCCTGCATCCCTGGACTCCTCCATGTCCTGGAAGCTTCTTGGTGAGTGGGCATGTGACAGCTCCTGGCCAGTGAGCTGAGGACAAAGGGGACATGGTCTCTTCCTAGGCGAGCCACAGAAGAGCTTCTGCACAGCCTTCCAGCCACTGGGGCAACAAGAAAACCTCTTTTGAGATGGTGGAAGGACAGCAGCCCTGGAGACAAGCCTGGATCCGCAGCAGCCCTGGCAGAAGCAAAGCACATGTTTCCTGCGTTCATCCTCTGAGAAATGGGAGTTGTCTGTTACCACAGCACAGCCTCTCCTATCCTGACTAATACAGAACTCTGTGAGCTCTGCTTGTCCCTTTTGTAGTCTGAGAATAATCACTGGCTGTTCATAGAATGATAGTGATGTTTACTGAGACAGAGATCGAGCAATCTGTTTCTGAGTGCACACTACATACTAGATCCATTGGGAGGTGCTGTCTATGAGGTGTGCTAGGTAGGCAGCTACACAGATCAGAGAAAAAAGGAGACATTTTCTGGGCTGATTAGGTTGGAAGCTGCAGGATTCTGGGTACTGCAGGACAAAGAGGGCAGTGTGGAGGTCACTCTCCTGGAGAGGTGAGATGGATTAATCCCATCCTACTGGATAGTAAGTGTGGAGACTTGATCTGGTCCCAAGGACAAAGAAAAGCTGGGGAGCTGAAGGGGACGCAGGGGAAATAGGAGCGATAGTAACAGTATAACAGCAATATCGAACTCGCAACGTTGAAAGCATTCACATAGCACTGCTATGTGCACTTACTGCTCCAAGACGCACCTCAGCTGTACTCACATACTTCTCCTGACAGTCCTGTGAGATGGACACAGCCATCCCTGCCCACCTCACAGGTGAGGAAGCTAAAGCACAGATAAGGTAAGTAAGACGTCTAGCATCACGTGGTTTCTAAGAAGCAAAGCCAGTGGCTTCCTGAGGGTCAGGGCAGAGTGGTCCTGCCCCAGCCCAGCATTTGGCTTGATTTGAGCTCTAGGGTCAGGGTAAGAGCAGAAGTGGAAGAAAGTGAGTTTGAGAGAGACGATACAGAAACATGACATCCTGAGACTCAGGGGACACAAGCACAGGTCCCACCCTCCCCAACCCTGCCCTCTTGGCTTGAGGAGGACCTAGGAACTACTCCGGCACCCAACAGCAGAGGACTTGGAGACATCCAGAGGCTGCCCTTCTGGCATGGTGCCCAGCGTGGGAATGCAGGGAAGTTCTGCTGAGAGGCTCCAGGAGGGCAGATCTGGGTGCCAGGGGTTGGGAGGAGCAGGATGGTAGAAGATGGGCTCCTGCATTGTGCCTCTTGGTGAGTCACCCTCCAGGAGCCTCCTAGCAGTGGAGGGGAGGGATGGGTCCAAAGCTGGGCAGTGAGCACACAGGGCTGAGCCTGGGGCACCTGAGCCCAGTAATCAGTATAAATATGGCCTCTGTTGCGCACACAGGCTCTCACCTCCCAGCAGCATTATGCTGAAGACAGAGTCCCAAATAATTCTCATTTCAACCTACTGTACAGATGAAGAAAGTAAGGGTCGGAGGATCTGACTGCCCAAGGCCACTGTGCCGGATTGAAAGTAGGGTCTGGGAGACCCCAAGTTCACACGTGGGTCACATTTCCAACTGCCTCTTGGAATGTCAGTCTTCCTGAGAGAAGTGCCTGTGTCCCCAAGGATTACTCCTGCAGACCAGGTCACCCAGGACTCCTGCAGCCCAGTGGAGGTCTGTCTGCCAGGACGAGCCTCTGCCTCACCCGCCCACCCGTGTGCTAGGGACAGAAGGGGGACTTTATGTGCAATCTGCCTGACTCTCCAGAAAGCACTTAGGTTTACGATGTGCATGAAATTGATCGCCAGTTGGCGCGGCCCCCGCTCACTCAGTGCCAGCCTAGCGCTGGCAGGAGGCTATCCCCCCCAGCCCCCACTTTCAAGGAGCATCAAAGTTGCTTGCCAAGGCCCCTCGTGAGGGTCCTTCTCCTGGGCTAGCAAGTGCAGAATGGGGTGTGTGTGCCCAAATGTCTTTCTGCCATCCACACACCCCTGCCCCATGAGAGTTAAATAGCTCCATGTTTTATGCCAATTTCAGCCTCTTCTGCTTCCCCTCTAACAAGCCGATGCTTTCAAAGGCCCCACTAATTGGTGTTTGCGCCTCACACGCCACGACACTTTGATAGTCACTTAGGATATGGGTCCATCTATCACATCCACAGTACAGGGAAGCTGCTCACCTTACTGCACCGGGGTCCATAGGCCTGGGTGGCCCTGCATCTGCGCACATAGCTGGGTGTACATCTGCGAACACTCACATGCCTTCTGTCCTACAGGCAGTAGAGATTTGTACAGGCACATGTGCACATGTGTGTGTGTGCAGGTGCTCCCCGGAGAGCGTCTCTTTTGTACCTCTGCATTTTTTATGTCAGTGAATGTGCATGGCAAAATGCTAACACCTGCCTGTGCACATGGGGTGTGAACTTGTGTGTGTGCCTGCTTTCCTGGGTGGATGCATTGGTGGTCTGTGCAGCAGTGCATGTATTTATGCATGCACAAATGTGTTTTGAATGTCTGCCTGTGGGCTTGTGTATGACAGTGTTTCCAAGTCTGCTGATGAGGTACATGTTCATGTCTGACTACATCTGTGGGTGTGCCAGCTTGTATGCTTACTGGGGTGCATGTAGGCACTCAGGGGGCTGTGTGCTGATCACATGTGAAGACAAGTGGGGCTATGTTTCTATGTGCATCTTGGGGTGCACATATACACAGGCATGCATGTGTATGGGCACTGATGGATGAAACACAGAGGACAAATATGACATCACAGTCAAGAGTCCTTGGGCTTTGGGTTTGAACTTTGGCTCTGCTGTTTTCTACTTTTGTGCTTCGGTTAATCACACAACCTCTCTGATCTGCAGTTTCCTCATCTCTAAAATGGAGGCAGCTGGGTGTGGTGGTTCATACCTGTGGTCCCAGCACTTGGGAGGCTGAGACAGGAGTATTGTTTTGAGTTTGAGGCCAGCCTGGGCTACAAAGTGAGCTCAAGGCCAGCTTGAACTGTGTAGGAGACTCTGACTCAAAAAGAAAAAAATGGAAGTAATAAAGCATCTGTCTCCCATTGTCAGATAGGTCAAATGGGACGACACACACAAAAGACTAGTAGGACTGTTCAGGATGCAGGGCATGTGTAGGGACACATGGGCCAACTTTCCTCCTTCCCTCCCTCCTCCCTTGGAATACCTGTGTGTAGACACCTTGCCCTGGCTCCACCCCAGAGCTAGTTGCCAGGAAGAGACTGTGGGCGCCTGGGGAAAGAACCAGCAAAAACAAGGCAAAGGCTTGGCCAGGCCTGGGTCACACATAGCAGGTATGACCCCTGTGGTCTTTGTCACATTCAAAGTGAGTTTGTATTTTTATTTTCTACCTTTGACATGTGGAAAACTGAGGTGCAGAAATGGACAAGAGCTGGTGACAGAGCAGGAACTTGTCATCAGAGCACGTAGCCTGCAACTGTGCTGCGGGACGCCAGGTTATCCCTGCCATTCCTTCCAGAGGATAAAGCTATCCAAACCTTGAGGACCCAGTCACACATACACAAGTCTAGAGCAAAGGCTCCTCCCCCTGAGTCCTGCCTCAGGCTGTGCAGGAAACCCCTACCAGCTTCTACCCAAGCAACAGGCCCAGAGCAGGGAAGGAGGTGCACAGCTACCTACCAGGCGAGACAAAGCTGAAGCGCAGGTCTCTTGGCCTCTGGAGGGTGACTAGCCTGTCCTCCCCCTCCTCACCTCGCTGCCTCTGATATGGCCTTGGCCCGCCAGGCACTAGTGAGTCATAGCCAGAGCGCAGTTCTCTGCTAGGCAGGTCACAGGGTCTTCAAGGCCACCTGATAGTCACCACGGAGAAATTTTGGAACATGAGGTCCCTGGGCTTGGGCTGCATTACTCTCACCTTAGATGGCAACCAGTGTCACTTTCTTTAGTACAGAGTAATTTGTGTTACAATTTTAATTTTAAAAATTAAGAGTTTAAAAATCACAAGCAATATTACAACCCCCTGGTTGACATTCCTACGATCACTAGCACATGAACCCCTGAAGTCATCAATACATCCAACATCTGGACACAAGTGCACCCGTTCCCCACCTATTCCTACCCTTCAACTACTGTGACACCTGCCGCCCTTTGCCAATGTGACATGGGCCCAGAATCCAGCAGCAGTGATCAGTACCATCTGCATGTCATTTCTGTCCCCTACTCTCAGCCTGCTCCACGCTCATCCCAGAATCATGTGACCCAAAGCTCTCCCCTCCCCACCTGAACAGGGACAGACTGACAGGAACTGTGGGCTGGCCATGGGCCCTGCCCTCCTCACTGGGGCTGCAGCCAGCAAGGGGAGCCAGAGGGGCAGGTCGTGAGAGGCCCTCTCCTCGGCCCGGCGCCCCACCCACCCAGCCGGCAGCCTGTCTGCCTTCCTGAGCTCATTAACTGCAGCTCACCGTTCAGCAGGAAAGACAAGGCGTGGGTTCTGCGGGCGTTCATTAACCGTGAGAGGAACAGTGTGTGTGAAATTAGCAGTCACCTGAGGACCTCGATAATTTCATAATTAGGAGGCCTAATGGCTCTAGCTCTGGATGCCAAATGACTTAACCCCTCGCCTGCTGGGCCCCCAACCCCCCCAGCCCAAGGCTGCAAGGGAGAGCCAGGAGTACTCTACTCATCCCCCCTCTCAAGAGCCATTACATTCATTTCTGCCACTCCAGCACCCAGTGCAGAGTTGGCTCAAAGGGGCTATAAAGCAGCTCAGAGAATGAATGAATGAATGAATGAATGAATGAATGAATGAATGAATGAATGAATGAACAGGTGTGCAAAGGTAGAAGAGCTCCTGATACAGGTGCTCAAGGGAGGGATGCTCTGGAAAGGGCTAAGGAAGGGCTCCCCATATGCATGAATAGGTGGGTGGCTGAACACATGCCTCTCTGTAAGAGCACACATGCATGTGCGAGCGTGGCAGTGCACACACATGGATCTGGGATGTCGTCTTCTAAGAACAGTGTGTGTGTCTGTGTCCAAGTTGCCATCTGGGAGCATTTTCTGCTGCCTCCTGTTTCTGTGATGGAACCCAGGTGCTTCCCTCCATGCCACCCCTCTCAGCACCACCTGAATAATGGTGTCTTGAGAATGTCTATATGGGGAAACGGGGTTTTCTTGGCTCAGAGCCAGGTCCTAGAGAGCTTGCTTTGGACCTGCATTTACAGAGCAAGTGCACTGCTTTTACTTAGATTGGATATTTATTTGGGATTTGAGGAGACTAACACTAATAATGAGGGACAAAAGTTATAGCCTAGCAGAGGGGAAGCAGTTAGGACAGTCTCTGAAGACACCTTTCTGTCTGTCCTCACTACTCCTCTCCTTGGGTTCCAAGGAACCCACACAGGAGAAGGCAGAGGGTGTGGGAGGGGACCCACAGGGCTCCAGGCCTGGCTAGGCCTGAGGACAACTGGTTCTGAGCCATCTGAACCCTGCCTAATTATAGAGAGGAAGCTGGGAAGTGCTCAGGGAGTGAGAGGGAAGGATGTAGGGAGGGAGAAGAGGAGATGAGAACAATAAAGGAGTAGACAGAGAAGGGAAAGGGAGGGGATAGCAGCGTAGGGGGAGGAGAAAGGATAGGAAGTCTGAAGAGGGTGAGAGAGGAGAGGTGGGGAGGGGAGGGAGGCTGAGAGCATTATCAGCACTTAAAAAGCGAGCAGCTCAGTTCTTCTTTGGCACAAATAATGGCTTTTTATGAATAAATCATGTGTCAGACGCCTCCCAGGGAGTGGGCATGGAGGGGTGGGGCTGAGTCTGCCGGGTTCCAAGGCTGGTGGGGAAGGGCCAGAACCAGGCCCTGGCAGGAGGGGTGTTACCCCCTTTCTCTTGATGGGGCCCAGCAGGACTAAAGCTGTTTTGGGAATTATCCTTAGCCTGAGCTGGGCTGAGCTCAGTCATTACTCTGCGGTGGTCTCGTGCTCCTTACCTGGGAGCTGGGCTGGGTCCCAGGGGCTGGAGTGTCCCTCTGCTCCCCTCCCCTCCAACAGACAGCAGAGCAGCCCGGAAAATGATCCTGGCAGGGGAACACCAGCCTGGTACTCCCAAGAGACAGGGACGTGCCAAGACAGGCAGGCACACCCAGAGAGCGAGGCAGGCAGCACGCATGTGGGGGCTCAGAGAGCAACTCACAGGCAGGCCCCCAAGCCCCCCACATGTGTGAGCACACTCAGAGACAGATGTATGGTGTTCATACACACATGCTCACCCATGTGCATACCCAACATAGAAACTCAAACACTACCCAACCTGCTCCCCACCCAACCCCAGCACACTCACTAACACCCAACACACACACACACACACACACACACACACACCCCACTGGCTATATGGACACACACAGACCTACACATGTGCACCAGCAGCCCACCCTCAGGCAGCCTAGGCTGGGTCAGCTCTGCAGTCCAGATGGAGACCAGAAGCAGCTGGGCCAGCTCAACTGGAGTCTGGTTGTGGCTGGGGCTGGAGCATTTGTCCCAGGGGAGGGTCTCTATGTGCTCCCCACTCAGCAGGGGCACCCCATTTCACAGCAGAGAGGTCAGCTCCAAACTCTGAGCAGCGCCTGTGTAGACCCTGCTAGCTCCAGGCACCTTTGCTTTCCTCTTGTAGGTCCCTCCTCAGAGGCAGGTACTGAGGGGAGCCTGAGCTTTGTAGGCAGTGAGGGGCAGGGCCCCAGGCTCAGCCCCACACTACTGTGACCTCAGAAAATGACTCCAATCTCAGTGTTTGGTTTCTTTGTTTTGAGACAAGTTCTCACTCTATTTCAGGCTGGCCTCTAACTTGTAGCAATCCTTCTGTTTCAGTCTCTGGAGTGCTGAGATTATAGGTGTGTTCCAGTGCAACCTGATTCATCTGAATTGCTCCTCAAATGAATCTACAAGACAGGTGCTACTGCCTCATCTTCCAGAAGAAAGTGAGGCTCTGAGTCAAGAGCAAGTTCCTTTTAGGGCGCAATATGTTCTTTCTCCAAACTCCAGGGCACCTCTGAGTACTGGTTCCCCATCTTTCCTTCTCAGCTGATGCATCCTTCTTCTGATGCTGAAGGGTTCTAGGTGTTCATCAGGGCAGACCAGGCTTCTTGAGGGTTTATCTGGAGCTTAGAGCATGAGAGTACAGCTACTCATATACCTCTGACCAAGGAACCCAGGAACCAGGCCTCCTCTGATGACGTGGTCATTCCACTTCACACAGCCTTGAGAGGAAGGGAGGGAAGGGGACATCCACCTATGCAGCCAGATCATCTGACTCAACCCCTGCAATCAGTGGGGTGACAGGTGTCACAGCCAGATTTACCTCATATCCCAGGCCTGGTTTCCTGACTCATCCCTCTTTGTCACACAACCCCACCCCAGGCCATAACTAGCAGCCTGTGAAAACCATTGTGCTCCTGATCCTCTGACCTCCCTCTCCAGCTCTGAAGCCTTCCTAGGCTCTCTGACCCCCTCTCCAGATGGACAACTGCTGGCCACCACATTGCCCAATGCCAGAGAATGCCATTCACACTGAAGAAGGCTCCAGAACTTCCCTCTCTGCTCCCAAATCCTAAGGCTTCCCATAGGATGCAACTCAAAGTGAGCCCATCCAAAAGTGAGCAGACCATTTCCCCAGGGATCCTCCTGCCTGTGTCTCCCCTTTGCTCAGCTACCCCAACTCCCCTGATGCCTCCTGTTCAGTCCACGTGACTCATTACCCAAAATGCATGTGAGCTTATCCTCCCAGGCTCACTGTCCTCCTCTGTGCCCTAGTTTACATCATTACCACCATCAGCACCTCTGGCCTGGCCCTGTCTCCCATTGTTGCCCCCTCTGATCCGCTTGCCTCCCTGCTGTCAGCAGACTTTTCACCTCTGAACTTCAGCCACATTTCATTGCTTTGTTCCGGAAATTGCCTGCTTTCTTGACTCTGGACCTTTGAATATGCCATTTCCTCTGTCGGAATCTTTCCCTTTCCAATGCCAACTCATCCCTTAAGGCTTAGCAGACACAACAGTCCTCCAGGGCTTCCTCTTCCTTCAGTCCTGCATTGGACTCCCGGCTCATGGATGTTCTAACTCATAATCGCCTACTTACCAATCGATGCCCCCTACAAGCCTCTAAGTTTCTCAAGGGCAGAAACTGTGCTTACTCTGCTCTCTACAGCAATCCCTGTGCTGAGTAAAAGAAGTGGCACTTAACAGGTGCTCAATCTTCCTTGAATTGAGGAGCGTGGGACTTGGGTTGAGTGCGCTGTATGCCTTTTTTCATTTGCTTGAGATGGGTGCTTAGACAGTGTGCTACAGCTCTGGCCACAAAAACGGGCCACTGAGACTGCAAATGTGCCTGAGGTGACAATGCTGGTAAACAGGAAGGCATGGATTCCAAGAAAAGTCTGCACCTTCTAAGGCTTTTCTTTCCCCCATCATTACTCCACCTTCCCATATTTCCTCTCTGCTCTTGTTTTCTCATCTGTACATTGGCAACAAAAATATGCCCAATCCAGGATATGGCACAGAGTTTTTGTACATACCAGTGCCCCTTCTTCCCCCTTCTAAGCCTAATTCCGGATAGTTTCCCCAGACCCAAAACTTCCTGCATGCACATGTTCAGAGAAAGAGGGGCAGAGCTCTCACAGACATGGTCTCTAGCCATGCCAGGAACTCAGTAGGCCATAAACTGAGAAGACTGACCCTAGCAAATGCTGACATTCACTTAGACACAGTCACAAGGGCAGACACCTGTCCCCCAACCCCTGCCAATTATCCTCCTCCACAGCTGCCCTCCCCAACCCAAGGCACGGGAAATATTTAAAACAATTTTATTCATGAAAATATGCTGTACAATGCACTCTACACGGCCTCGACACGGCACACACGCACACGCACACGCTGACAGCACGGCCACGGTACACTGCCTACAATATGCGCCGGGGAGCGCCACACCCACGGCCCGCCCCGACCGGACACTTATAAATATGGGAGAGGGGCCAGCACTGGCACGGAAAGGAGTGTTGAGCTGGGGGATCCAGAGCTGAAGCCCACTGGAGAGGCTGAGATCAGCACCGGGACTGTGATGGGACTGTTTGACCTGGGAAGGGCACTCTAGGGCCGGCTAGGACGGGAGGAAGGCTGAACCCGTGGGGGTGAGGGTAGCGGGCGGGCGGTGCAGGGGTGGATGGCCAATAGATGTGAGTCTTCGGAGGGTTGCCAGCTTTGGGTAGTGAGACTAAGATGAGTGGGCAAGGTGTCTGTGGGGATCAAAGTTTGGGACTGGCTACGAGTCCCTGTCAGCACAAGGTCTGCGCAAATGAAAGTGAAGATTCAGAAACACCCCTTGCCCCGTCTCCTAGTTGGCTCGGTGATCAGCACCCACACTCAGAAGACCCCTTGCTCTTCCCCACTCTGCCCTGCCCAGATTTCAGTCTCCTCCCCCAGGCTTCCTGCCCAGGGAGGAGACCAAGGCTCAGGAGTCGGCAGGAACCTGGGGCACCCCAGCCCCGCCCTCCCACGCCCCGCTGTGGTCAGCTCCTGAGAGACGTCTCTAGCACGACTGGGGCGGCCTCAAGGATCCTCCCGCGGACTGGATCAGGGATGGGGACGCGGGGATCAGGATGGGAAGACAGAGGCCCCTTGGGGATGGGACCGGGCACCCGGCCGCAGGTGGCAGCCCTCAGCCTGGCACCCAGCTCTGGTTAGGTGGCGGGGCACCGGCCAGGCCGGGCGGCGGCGGAGGCAGGGCTGAGTCGAAGTTGAAGTCCATTTCATCGCTGTCCATGAAGTCGTTGAGGATAATGGACTCGACGTCACACTCAAGGCTCCCGCTGAACATGTCGAGGTCCAGGTCCGCGGGAAAGCGGTCTGGCGCAGCACCCAGCGGCCCGGAGGCAGCATAGGGCCCAGGCAGCGCGTCCAGCAGGAGGCCGCCCGGCGGGCCCCCGAAGGCTGCTGTGTGGCCAGGCGGAGCCAGGCCCGCAGCTCCCGCCTCGCCGGACAGTGTCATAAGGCTGATGGGGTGGGCTAAGGCACTGCGCGAGGGCGCGGGCGGCGCGTACGGGGCCGCTCCCTTGCCAGGGTAGGCGACAGCCGCACCCGCCAGCGCCATCTCCCCCGGCACACCCAGGACTGGGCCGGGCCTCGGTGCGGGCGGAGGCGGCGGGAGCAGCGTGGGCAGCGCCCCGGGGCGGAAGGGCGCGGTGGCAGGAGCGAAGCTGGCCTGCTTGTTCTCCTGGATGGTCTGCATGGGCAAGCGGCGCAGCGCGCCCAAGGCCGGCGGCCCGAAGCCCCCACCTCCTCCGTATGGGCCACCCTTGCAGCTCCCGAAATAGGCCGGCGTCCCGGCGCGGGCCCGCGGCCCATAAGCGTCCTGGGCGCCGTCCAGCAGCGCCTCGGGCAACCCCGCGCCGCCGCCGTGCAGCCCTAGAGCGCTTCCCAGCTCGGCCAGGCGGGGCAGCTCCCCCGGGCAGCGCGCGCCCAGCGTGGGCGACAGCGCACTCGCGGGACTCGGATACATGAGTGGAGAAGACGGCGCCAAAGCCTCCAGGGCCTCGTCGTCCTCCAACTCGGCCGCCTCCCCGAGCAGGGGCCTCCCGCCGCCGCGGAAGTCGGCCCAGGCCTCGTAGTCGTCGCTGGCGCGAGAGGCTGGGCTGGCGGTCCACTTGGCCGCGGATGGCGGGGGTCCGGGGGCTGGCGCGCCCGGAGGGCTGCTGTCCGGGCTCCGCTCAGGTGCCTGCAACTGCTTCTTCCTGCTTGCCTTGCCCTTGATGCGCAGGAACTTGGCCCCGTTATCCATGGACACAGCCCTGCGCCGCGGCGTCTTGCCCGTCTTTCCGCCCTCGGGGTTCAGCATCCACCAGGAGCTCTTGCCAGTGCCCTCGTTCTGCACGCGGATGAAGCGCGTGTGTAGCGACAGGTTGTGCCGGATGGAGTTCTGTGGCCAGAGACAAGGGGTAGTGGGGTGAGGAGGCCGTGAGACAGGCATGGGTGACAGCAAGGGGCGGGAAGAAAGCAGAGAAAGAGAGAATGAGAATAGAGAAGAGGCAGGGTGGGGAGGAGAGGACAGGGGAAAGTTGGGAGAACAGGGGTGCAGGTGTAAGTATCAGCTGGAAAAACCCAGAATCCCCATCTCGTACACCCACCCCCACCCCCCACCCCCACACAAGGAGACAGCCGGGAGGGTCGGGCTAGAGCTTCGGCCTGGCCCTTCCCTGGAGGTGTGTCCAAGCCCCAGAAGGGGGGGCGCTACTCTAAGCCAGCTCGGGACCTGCTGGGAGAAGCGGATCCCCTCTTCCCCAGCTCAGCCAGTGGCACCTCAAGGGGCTAGCCAGGCCGCCAGCGCCCCCCAACCCCCGCGCAGATTATGTAAGGGCTCACACCGCTGCGGCTCATTTGTCCGCCCCCTCCCTCCTCAGCCTGGCGTGGCGCCAGAAGCCCGAAAACCCAGGGCTCCAGAAATCAATCTCGCGGTGACTGATTAAGCCCTGTTTAGAACTAATTGCTCTTTCGTGTGTGGGGAGAATAAATTACCTGCTTTAATTTCGTGTCTTTAAAATGCAACTGCAGGTAGAGAAGACTGTTAACCCTTTGCTGGGAGGGCCTGGCCTTAAAAGCACAATAGCCTGGAGGTCTCTAAAGTGGGTATAGGCAGGACACTTTAAAGAAATCTCACCACAGGTACTTTAAGCTCCTGAAAACTTCCAAGATACCTTGGACCCCACTAACCCAGAGCAATCACCTTTGGCAAATGCAAACTTCAGACTTCACACCTGCCTGAAGGAGTCAACTCTCCAGTGTGCCAGCCCCAAGTGACTCACCTGCCACAGCACTGCCCTCAGCTCCCTTCTGGTGGCCTCTTGACACAAGCCCCACATGCTCCCCATTTACAGACAAGAAGATACTGGCTCAGAGAGGCCTGTCTAAGTCTCCATAACTTTCTGAGGCTCCTTGGCATCATCGTTGCCAACCCCATCCATAGCCTCTTAATTTCTGCCAATCTGCACGCAGTGCTAATGTACAGTGTTCCCTGTGTGCTTGGGCTTGGGCCAGGCCTGTCCTGGAGACACGGAAAGGCTGGAGAGCCCACAGGTACCTAGAGTAGAACTTCCGCTGAGCCTCCCACCTGGGGGCCTTGGTCTCTCTGCTCAGGTATTGCTGTGGAAACAGCCTGGGCTTGGCTATCAGAGGCCTGGGCAGAGTGTCAGGCTCTCTGGGCCTTAGCTGGGTGTCTGTGGCTGTGTATCAGTCTTTGAGCTACTCTGAAAATATGGCTAGTCATAACCACCTGATAAAGCTGTTAGGTCATTCTATGAGCTAAGGAGTGTGGTTAACTATTGGTGAACATAAGTGCTCATAAATGTAGGGTAAACCCCTCACTCTGGCTAGACGACCTCACCCGTTAGGTCATTCAACAGACCTACTGTCTCTATCTTCTTCACATCTTGCTCTGAGCAGAGCTGTGCTGTGCCTCAACCTCTTGGGGAAGTTGGCATTACCCTATTTTATCTACCAGGTGACAGATACCCAGAGGTATGATGTAACTTGCCCATAGTCCCACAGCTAGGCAGCAATGCCAGGGACTACCCTGGCTCTCCCCAGGTCATGGACCTACTCTTAACCCATTAATCCACTGAGCCACACTTGTAACCAGCTATTGTATTGTGCCGTGCAAGCCACAAGTCTTCAGAAGGCCCCTCCTGCTGCCCAGGGTACCTTCTAACATCACCCCAGCTTCTGGTCTTCACTTGACTCTCCAGAGCCTCAGACTCCCCATGTCTGGTACTTTCTGGGTTTGCGAGCAACAGCTGGGGCTTGCCAGCCTTGCCCTGCCACATTTCTCCTGGGGCCTTGAGAGAGGGAGCTCAATCCCCAGAGAGCAGTGTTCCCTCAAGTGGATACCCCTTCCCCCATCGTCCCCTGCACCTGGCTCCCTGGCCCCTCCCCCACACCTGTGTTCAGGGGCCCAGGAGGCCTCAATCCTCATCCCCCATAGGACTGTCTGGCTTACCCAAAGCTCTACCTTCCTACCTTCTCCCTTCTCCAGCTGGAAATGAGTCAGGGAACACTTCTTTATCAATGTCATTTTGTACAAGCCTGGCTCAGAGTGCTGGGGAAGAAGGGAGGACACCACCAAGTACCAGCACCTAGTCAGTACCAGCATGTTCAGCACTGGGCACTCCAAGAGCTTCTTATCTCGCACAACCATGGCAGACTCCATATAGTCAAGATCTGAGATCTGTAATTGGACATGAGGAGGGAGTGAAGCTCAGACACTGCCTTGCAGGTCAGTCAGCTCGGTAGCAAGGTCACACAGCTGGTTAGCCACAGAGCCAGGAGTTACTTTTAGGTTAGTTTTACTGTAAGTCTAAGGGACATATATTCTGCCATGGGACAGAAAAGCTGGTCACAGAATTCTCAAAGAATGTCAGGAAGCCAGAACACCATTGCTCCTCAAACTTACCACATAGAGAATCCCTAGAAACCTTTGACACAGGAAGACTAGTGGTATGTTGCAAGGTCAGAATTTCCTGCAGACTCATGACTCTATTTTAGAATTCAAGGGAATTTTACACGTACTTTGTAATACATTTTTCTTTTCTTTTTCTTTTTTTAACAGTGCTAGGGATTAAACCCAGGCCTTCTGAGCTATACCCCAAAGTCCTGCACTTTCATTTCTTTATAAACATTATAAAAATATTTTAGGGGCTGGGGAGATGGCTCAGTAGAATAAGTGCTTGCCTGGCAAGCACAAGAGCCTGAGTTCAATCCCTGGTTCTGAAAAAAAAAAAAAAAATTAGATTATGTGGTCTCAGCCGACATGCTCCAGATGTACAAAGAAAGGTTCACTTCCTTCTCTCTGATGCTCCCCTAGCCAGGAACCAGAGACTCCAGCCCCCCACCCCCGGACCAATGGCTGATGTCAGAGTGAGAGTGTGAGTGTAGAGCCCCTAACTCTGAGCCAAGTTCTCTTTTCAGTCTACTAAGCCTGACAGAGGGCAAGTCTCTCCTGCTATCCAGGACGCAGTTTCCTTCTTATACATTAATGACATCAGCCAGTTGTAGCATAAAGATCTTTCTGTTTTAACATGAAAAATTCTTGGAATCATACAGTCTAGAGTTCTCAAAAGTTGAGGGGTTTTTTTGTGGGGTTTTTTTTTTTTGTTTGTTTGTCTGTTTTGCTTTTTTAGCATTGCAACTCTTTTGGTAAATGAGATCTAATACAAAAACTAAAGTGCTAGGCAGTCGAACCTTTAGGGCAGGGGACAGGATTATCTGCAGCCAGGTATACTCAGTACCCTCCCACCTCTGGAAAAAAAATACCCTTAAGGAGGGATTCTGAAGTCCAGATGGATGGGACAGGGAGGCCTGTAGGGTACCACACCTTAACTAGAGGTATGCATGGAGGTGGCACAGAGCTGCACTAGGAACTTGGCCTTTGGTTGGTGAGCCAGGCTCTGCACCAGGCATTTACCAGGGCTGTGCCCAATGAGAGAAGCTCAGGCCCTTTAGCCCAGTATGGTGTCTCTGGGCCTGGCTACCTGGGGCCAACCAGAGCTCGCTACCAAGATCCAGTGGCAAGCGCTGATCCTAAGTCTGGCTTACATGCAAAGCCTCCTGGGAGGCCAGAGGTCATGGAGATGAGGAAGAGAGAGGAGGGAGACGCCTCTGCCAGGTGGCAGTAACCAGGGTTCCCTCCTGGAGTCGCCTAGCAACCCACCACCATAGCCACAGCCCCAGCAAGCCTGGGCTCCCCTGGTGCCCAGAGCTAACTAGGCCTGGCTTCTGACACCTCCCACTTCCTAGGCCTACCTTCAGGCCTGGTCCATGTTCTTAGGGAAGTTGGACCTCCCTAATTTGAGGTCCTAGGGAGATCCTCTAGGGGTCTACGGAAAAAACAGTGGGGTACATACCATGTCCATCCCATCCTCCCTCAGAACCTGACCCAGGAAGAACGGTATCCCAGGCCTCAGCCATCAGGGAAAAGAAACTGGTGAGGCTGGCACAAGACAAAGCACACGGGTTCTGGTGTTGCATCTGGATGCCAGCTTCAAACACCATGAAGCGTGCATCCCTGGGGCATGGTGTCCTGAAGCTCAAGCAGGGAGCTGCTTCCACCTCTGCTTCCCTGCAGCACTGCACACAGCGGTGGGGCGATCCTTTAAGGAGCAGGGTCCCTGCCATGCTGACCACCTCACTGACTGGGCCAAGGCCCACGGCCCCTCCAGGCCCTCACAGGGTCTCGCTCATCCCAACATCCGGTCCTGGAATCCAGATGCTTCTGTCCCTGGGTCCCCCTTCCCCCAGATGCCCCACAGACCTGGCATCCCATTTACATCTCTATTCATGGGTAGAAGGATCCATCTGTGATAAAGCCCATCCTGACCACTCTAGAAACAGCTCTTCTCCCCTGCCATCTCTTGTGTCCTTGTCCTACTCTGAATTTTTCTAAAGCAACTGTCACTTTCTAAATGAATACAGTTTGGCCATTCCTAACCCCTAAATCCTCAATTCAAAATGCTCCAAATTCTGATGTGTTTTGAGCACTGTAATGTTCAGAATGTTTCCAGTTTTGCAGCTTTTCAGCTTTCAGATTTTTGGATCAGGAATACTAAACCAGTAAAGTATACGCAAATATTTCAAAATTCAAAAAAATTCTAAATTCTGAAATACTTCTGGTCCCAAGCATTTTGGATAATGGATCTCAACCTATATATAATTATTTACCTTAAATTATTGTCTGGCCATCTTCTAGCAGAACATAATGTTAATAGGGTAATGATTTTGCCCTCATTTTTTTTCTGTATCTCACACATTTGGTACATAGTCGGCACCTAAGTGTGTGCAGAGTTAATGACTCAGTGAAGAGAAAAAGTATAATACTGTGCTACATAGGGAGCTGAGAGAAACTGCCTGGCCTGCCACAGAGCAGCAGCT